TCGTGAGGAAGTCGTTGGTGGTGCCGGCCACGTCGGCGCGCGGGTGGGGGCTGCGCGCCGAGTGCCGGGCGGCCGCCCCAGCCTCGGGAAAATCGGGCGCGGCTACCATGAGGTCGGGCCTGTCCCCCTACAGGGGGATTTTGGACGTAGTCAAAACATCTTCAAAACAGGCAAAAAAGATACTCAGATAATCGTCCCCGCATTATTTTTGAACTATTTTTGAATATTCCTCCTGTAGAGGGACAGGCCCAACCTAAGGCTACCACCTACAGGCGGTTTTCGAACGACAGATGAATAAACACAGGCAGAACACATACAAAAAGAAGCACAAGGAGTCGAACAAAAATCCCCCGACGATTCTTGGGGGACTGTCTTCGAGCACTCCGCCTGCAGAGGGACATGCCCGACTTAAGGCTACCATGGCCCTCCGACCACGTGCGCAGTAGACCACCGCACGAGGCCTCGAGCGTCCTGGACGAAACTTTGGACGCCCGAAATGGGTACGGAAAAATTGGCACAATGCCGAACAAACCAACAGCGGCCGCTGTTGGGCGGGCGGCCTTCTGTCTCAGATGGACACAGGCCGCGGCGGCGCGGACAGCGAGTCCTGTTCAAGATGAACAAGAACTGCTGTTGGGCATCGTACCCATTCTCTCCGTGCCCAGCCCGCTCGTGCCGACTCGAGCGTCCTGGACAAAACAGGGCCGACTCGCTCGACCGGTCTCGACGTCGCCCGGCCTCGCGCCTCGCGCCCCGCGGTGCGCGAGCATCTTCGCGCCGTCGCGCCGCTCTCCGCTGGAGACGGGCAGCCGCTCCGGACCCCGACGCGCGACGCGCGAGGCGCGGGTGGCCTCGCGCCCTCGCGGGTGCCCTCCAGATTCAGGTCGGACACGTCCCCCTGCAGGGGGATGTTGGACGACAAATCAACAACGTCTCAAAAACAGATCCAACAACAGTCAATCATTGATCAGGAAAGGGTCGCCCCGACTACGCTTCGACTGTGTTTGAGTGTTCCTCCTGTAGATGGACAGGCCCGACCTAACTCCAGATCCTGTAGATGGACAGGCCCGACCTAGCTCTGAATATTCCTCCTGTCGAGGGACAGGCCCGACCTGACTCCAGATCCTCGGCCTCTGGGGGCCCCCGCGAAGACCAAACCCGGGGGCCTTCTGACCCGGGCCAATCCAGACCCGGGCCCGTCAGGCTCCTGCGGGAGCGGGATCCTGCAGGATCCTGCAAGACCCTGCACCCAAACCCTGGGTCAACGCAAAGGATCCTGCAAGATCCTGGAGGATCCTGCACCCAAGCCCGGGCCCAAAGCCAGGGTCGGCGCGAAGGATCCTGCAATGGATCCTGCAGGATCCTGCACCCACACCCGGGTCAATGCGACCCTGGCCCTGCGGGATCCTGCAGCATCGGGCGCTCTGGCTGACCCCCGTTTGAATTGACCCCCTTCTGTAGCATTCTCGGGGGATCTTGTCTGTCCCGTCGCGGTCCTATCCGCGTCGAATCGGTGTCGAATCCATGTCGGACTCATCGAATCCATGTCGAATCCGTGTCGAATTTACACCAAATCCGCGTCGAGTCCGCATCGAGCCCACGTCGGACACAAAAGAAGACACCAATTTTGAGGAGAGGCGAGGTCCCCCAAAGATGCAACATAAACCCCCGTCTCAGGGCTCCCGACAAACACCCGCCGCTGTGAGGAGCCGGGCCCCGGCGAGGAGCACGGAGCTCCCTTTCGGCCCGCGTCCAGCGGGGGCCGGTCCACGAGACACCTCCCACAGCGGGGGCCGAACCCTGAGACCCCGGGACGTCCTCTGACCTCTGGTCACGCTCTCCACGGCGGAACCCTGGAAGCCCACGAAGAGAAACCCGGGCCCCCCCTGTTACCAGCCTCGAACGTATCCCTATCCCTAAGATTGACACGCCAAAAGGCGATGACAATCTTAGGGATACGCCCTGAAAACTAAGGGAGTCCCTAAGATTGGCATCGTGATGAGGAGGTGCCCAGCATAGGGATAGGGATATGTTCCAGGCTGGTAACCTGGAAGCCCACGAAGAGAAACCCGGGGCCCCCCTGGAGGCGAGCAGAGGGTGTCTCGTGGCAGGGGTCTCCACCGTACAGCGAACAAGCTCAGCGACACCGCAGCGGAAGCAGGGGGCCACCGCTCACGTGCCCGGGGGCGTCGGCTCCAGGGAGGCCCCCTCGCTCATCGGACCCAGCTTGAGGCGCCACGCCACAGAGAGGGAGCCGAGAGCTCCCAGTCTGACGCCTCTTCACGGCGTTGCGCGCTTTTTTTTCTCCCCAGGAGCCAGGATCCCGAGCAAGCGCCGCCTCCATAGACGAACCCCCTTCCACACCCTCGGCCCTCTTCTTCTTCTTCTTCTCCTTTTTCCTCCCCTTCACCTTCGAGCGGGGTCAGTTGCCATAGCAAGGCGCAAAGCTTGGTCGTTCGATTGTCGACTACATTTGTAGCTCCACTGCGATGTCTTGTCTTATCTTGTCTGGTCGTGTCTTGTCTTGTCCCCACTCTCACTTGCGCCCCTCGCCCCTCCCGGAGATGCAGGCGGGTGGCCGCCAGGAGGTCCGGAGAGGGTGAGCAGGTGAGGCTGGTGAACACGGGGTGGGGTGGTCCAGGGACCAGGCCGTCCCTGAACCTGCTTCGCTCTCAGCTGGGCGCTGGCAAACATCAGCTCCACAGAGGTGTACGCCGTCGGGTAGCACAGCCGCATGACGAGCACGGCGATCCAGGCCACGCTCGTGACATACATCCACGTTCTCACCTCGCTGCGGCTGCGGTCGGCCTCGTAGCCGTATTCCTGGGCCATGTCCCGCACCGTGCGCGCGATCGAGAGCTGCGCGCTGACGTTTTCCTTGCCAGTGTCGGTCTTGTTCGCAATGCTCCACGACATTGACGACTCAGCAGGGCGGAATGCGAGAGACACCGCGCCTGCTGAATGCGGCGCGGTCATCCCGAAAAGAGATGTGAGTAAACAAATCCGTGAGAGATATGAAGTAAGAACCATCGCTCATTGAAAGGACAAGCCTGGACGATTCTGGCCGAAACGGCACTGGAAAGGATGGCAATGTGGATGATTGCACTGAAAGCGAGTCCACCTTCGTGACCGCGACTACGATCACGATGCCCCGCTTCGGAAACGCTCAACTTGCCTTACGATGTCCAGCGACTTTCCCCCGTAAGGAGATCCGAGACAGCGTGTGCAACGACACGACACGACACGGCACATCACGACACAGCACAACCAACCCTACCGAATCGAACAACTTATCTGAAAGAACATCATGTTGAGCCGCCACGAATGTTGCACACCAGACTGCAAAACGAAGTTCACGCGCCGTAATCACAATGTCGGCCGCTCTGTTCAGATTGACTCACAAAAGGCGCACAGCACGGCCATATCACTGAATGGCTGGCTATTTGTGGGATGTGCAAATGGTTGCGCTATGACTTCCTTACGCCAACCCGAAGTACGGTCATGATCCGCTCTGTCTAGCTTGCGTGAACCCGCCCACTATGCCCACTATGCCTAGCTCGCACCAGGGATTGCGCCACGAAGTTGCGCGTGCCCGACAGAATCACGGATCTGTTTGCTGTTCAGGTTGCGCCGCAAGTTGTGGTAGAGCCATCACCCACCAATTTTGCCATAAGTTTCGCGTTGCCGGCCCGACCAAATTACTGCCCTGGCCTGCCCTCCCTCGTGGCACTCGAAAGATGAATCCTTACAACACTGCTGCTTGGGGAATGCTTGCAAGCGTGCGCCCCAGGAAAGGGTCATTGCACTCTCGATGTGTATTTTGTGTGGCGCAGCCTGTGTATGATGCATCCAGTGCGTTGTAGCACACGCATGTGACAGTTACGCGGTGAATATATGTGGTGCAACGTATGTGGTACAACACGTGGTGCAACAACCCATGGTGTTGCACACTGTGGCAAAGAAGCTTTGTGGTGCAGGCTGAATGGTGCAACATACGGGGTGCTACCAATGCGGTGTAACGTCTGAGGTGCAATCCGTTGTTTTTGAAAACCATGTTACATGCGGTGCAATATTTCCCAACATCCAAAATGGGATTCTTGTTGTCTCTGGACACCCCGCGCAAGAACTGGATGGAAGGACCCCCTCTCCTCTCACTCACACATTCACACGGTCACATCATCATCGCCGCAGCATGATCACTGACCCACCCGCACACACTCTGATTATCCAGCTCACCCACTCACATTTACTACCCATCACTCATCATCATCCTCACAACTATCATAACACCATCGTCAGCATCGCCATTCCCACACACACTTACTCACACACTCTCACACACTCATCTTGACGAGGTCTCAGGCGGGATCCTCGGCCGTGGGACACCATCGACAACATCGTCATTACCACACACATGTACCCACAAACTCACGCACTCATCCTGACGAGGTCTCAGGCAGGAGCCTCGCCTGTGAGCGAACACCATCACCAACCCCGTTGTCATCATCGTCCACACCCACATTTTAGGAAATATCAGGCGGGAGCCTCGTCTGTGAGTGAACTGCGAGGGTCAAGCGGGAACCTCCTCCCTATGGGGCCCGCCGCTCATGTTTTTAATCTAAACGAGTCATCGGGACTCCGTAACTGTCGTCACTTTAGGCCCCTGAGGCCTCAATATGGAGGAAGTATCATGCGGGAGCCTCGTCCGTGAATGGATTGCGACGAAGCCTCAAGCGGGAACCCCCTTCCTAGGGGCCCCCCAACTCATGTGAGTAATCCGAACGGGTCGGCGGGATCGTGCAACTGTCGTCATGTTTTTGGCTCCTGAGGCCCGAATATGGAGGAAATATCAGGCGGGAGCCTCGTCTGTGAGTGAAGTGTGACGAAACCGCAGGCGGGAACCGAAGTTTCAGGCGGGAGCCATCTCTGTATGGGGCCCACCGCTCATGTTTTTAATCCGAACGGGTCGTCGGGGTCGTCTAACTGTCGTCACTTTTGGGCCCGTGAGGCTTGGAAATGGAGACGCATCAAAAGGGAGCGTCGTCTGTGAGTGAATAACAAGGAAATCTCAGGAGGGAGCCCACCCCTACGGAGCCCGCCGCTCGCATTTTGAATCGGAGCCGGTCACCGGGATCTTGTAACTGTCGATACTTCTGGGCCCCTGAGGCCTGACTATGGAGGAAGGAGCAGGCGGGGGTCTCGTCTGTGAGTGAATTGCGAAGAGCATCGAACGGGAGCCCCCTCCCTCTGGGGCCCGCAGCTCATGTGAGTAATCTGGGCGGGTCGTCCTCAAACCTGTAACTGTCTTCATATGTGGCTTCCTCAGGCGTGAAGCTCGGGAAGTATCGGGCGGGAGTCTCGTTTGGGAGCGGATGCCAAGGAAGTCTCAGGCGGAAGCCCGATCCCTATGGGACCCGCACTTCGCATTGGCAATCCGAGCGGGTCATCGTAAACCTTGTGACCGTCGGAATTCTCGGGCCTTTGAGGTCTGAGTGTTGGGGAAATGTGAGGCGGGAGCGTCTTACGTGAGTGATTCGCGCCAGCGGCTCGCCGGGTTGTCCCGACGGCCTGGCCCGCGGGGCTGTCCGCGACGGCTGCGCGATTTCGCCGTCGGAGAACGCGCCCCTGCCAGGCGTGGCGGCGAGGGCGCCGAGGAAAATCTACGCGCGCGCCCTTGCCAGGAGGAAGGAGAGGTGCAGGAGGAAAACGAACGGGGCGGCAATCAGGAGGGGGGAAAGGATGAGGAGGTGGAGGAGGGCAAACCAAAGGCCGCGGAGGAGGAGAAACATGAGGAGGAGAGGGAGAAAGTGGCGGAGGCGGAGGAGGAGGAGGAGGAGGACGAAGAGGAGGAGGCGGAAGAGGAAGAGGATGAGAGATGCAACGCGTAAGACGAGAAGGAACAGGAGGATCAGGAGGATAATGAGGAGGGGGGGGAGGAGGAGGAGGAGGAGGAGGAGGAGGAAGAGGAGGAGGAGGAGGAGGAGGAGGAGGAGGACGGAGAGGGCGGAAGGAAGCCTCCGCCAGACGAAAAAGAAAAAGGCGAGGGGCAAGCGAAATCGATTCTCATGCGGGGTCCGACCCTCGGAGTAAGTTGTATTCATGCAAAAATAAAACCAAGTGGTGCAATCTGAAGCGCACATTCTCGGCGGTGCACAGTGTGGTGCAATCTGTGAGGCGCAGTCTGCGTGGCCCAACCTGCGTGGTGCAGCAAGCGAGGCGCCCACAAGGCGCCCACTGGAGAGAGCCAACGGAGCGAACGTCGGGAGCCACCCCGGAACCTCCGGCGCTGCCGGCAGCTCCGGGAGCTTCTTTGCGCCGCCCTTCCGTTCCCCGCCGGCGCGGCGCGCGGCGCGAAGGAGGAGGAGGAGGAGGAGTCGGAGGAGGAGGAGGAGGCGGAGAAGTCGGAGGAGGAGGAGGAGGATGAGGAGAAGGAGGAAAGCCGCGCTGGTTTGAGCCGGGCGCGCGCGGTCGTCGTTGCCGTTCGTCTGTCGTCGTCGTTCGTCGCGCCGCCTTTCCCATGGCATGGGGCGCCCACGAGGCGCCCGCGGGGCGACGGCCAGACGAGAGCCCAGCACCGCCAGAGAGCGGCCAGCGCGCACAAGGCGCCCCCCTGCAGGCACGCGCGCGGGGCCGACGCCACGCACGAAGCGCGCCCAGAACAGCAGGCCCACTACTGGGTTACACAAGGAGGAGGAGAAGGACGAGGAGGAGGAGGAAGAGGAGTATGAGGAAGCAAAGGAGAAGGAGGAGGAGGAGGAGGAGGAGGAGCAGGAGGAGGAGGAGGGAGGAGGAGGAGAACCCCGCAAGGCAAACACTGGGTGGGACACTGCTTTGGGACAAAGAACTACGAACAATCGCTTCCGCTTTCTGCGTGTACCCCTCCTCCATGGAGGAAAGAGAACTCTGCACATGCACCGCTTCTGGCCAGGCCCACCCTGAACCCAGGATCGGTGCATACGCCCTCCTGCTATGGCAGGGAAAGCATATGCACCGATCCTGGGCCCAGGATGGGCTTGGCCGAGATTCGGTGCATGTGCATAGCTCTCTTCGCCCGGCTCCAACCTCCTTCACTGCTCCGTGGACGCGAGGCCCGAAACAAATGCACGACGCCATCTGGTGAACCGCGTGGGGACGACCATAGCTATGCGCAGGAGGCCACGCAAGTAGGCCGTGTGACAGCGTATGACAGCACTCCCAGGACTCAAATCCAAAATGACGGATGCACTATATTGTGGGAATGTTTCTTTATATATAGATATAGACAAAAAACAAGAGACACACACCGCGGTCTGCGAATATGCTGCAAGTCGGGCATTATGTGAAATGGCAGCGCGATTTCAACCGAATATTGGCGGAATTAAGGCATGCCAATGTCTGCCCCATTCAACCCGTGGTTTGTTCCATTTGCTTATGGTCGACAGGAAGGCGAGAAAGGGGGGCGAACGAGGGATTGACCTATGAAGCACGGCCTCACTCGGAAGAGTTCGAAATGCACGATGTGGAGGCACTCATCTTCCTCCTACTCCTCGTCGTCCTGCCTCTGCTTCCCTTCCTCATCGTGCCCCCACCCGCAGACATGAAACCGATTCCCAAACCCCTCCAGACGCGGCTCGGGCAACCGAGCAAGACAGTCCTACGCGGTTGCCTCGAGCCGCGTCCAGCCGGGGAGACGACAGCCCCCCCCCCTTAAAGGCCAACAAAGGACGAGGAGGAAGGTATCTCTATCATGTCTCACACTGCTTCCTCTTCCCCTCCTCCTCCTCATCCTGCTCTTCCTCCTCCGTTCCTCCTCCTCCTCCTCCTCCTCCTCCTCCTCCTCCTCCTGCACCACCTCACCTCCTCCATACATCTCCCTGAGAAGACGCATCCTCCATGTCGCACCCCCAGACGTGTCCGTAGGGCAGCTGGCCATTTCGGTTTAACACTGCAACAATTCCAAAACTGGAGAGCAAGTCGTTTTCAGAATGTGGCTCTCGCTTCAGCGCCGCGAGCGCTCGTTACAAGCTTGCAGCAACTTCAAGCATGGATGGCGGCCCGTTTTAAAAATGTGTCTCTCGCCGTAGCGCCGCGAACATTCGTCTGACAGTTTGCAACAGCTTCAAGGCTGGAGGGCGACCCACTTTCAAAAAGTGGCCCTCGCCGAAGGGCTGCGCATATTCGTCTTGAATGTTTGAAGCATCTTGAGGATTATTCGGGTTTTTGTTCCAGGAACGGTTTAGGATTGCGAGGACGCAACAGTTACGTTGATTCGCGGTGTTGTCATCGCAGGAATAGATGGCTGATGCGACATCGTATTGTCAAAACGCGATGGTCACGTTAACTGGAGGCGTTGAGATCACGGGAAAGGTGTCTTGACACGGTTGAGTAATGTCAGAGCGTTGTTGCCGTTCAGCGGAACACGTCCCGCAAGGATAGTCAATGTGTGCAGGGACACATGGAGAGGGACATTGTATAAAAGGTTTATTGCAGCAGCGTTGATGCGTCCTGGGTTTACGCAGGTCGTCCCTCCTTCCCCATTCGCCTGCCAGTCGTTGGCAGCGGAGGACGGGCCCGCGGACACGCAGGAGGCGTGCGGCATCGGCCAAGCAACCACGAGGCGCGAGCGGGGGAAGTGGCCCCGTGCAGGTGCGCGATGGCAGCGGCAGGCGCGGAGCACAGCTGGCGCCGCTGCAGGGACGAGGCGGACAGCAACCCAAAGGCTGCCCCGCTGCAGCGACGAACTGGACGCCATGACGAGGAGGAGGAGGCGATCCTGGCACGTGTGCTGCTGCCGCTGGCCCCTCGACATCCCAGGCGGGACGCGCCCTGGCAGAGGTCCGCGTTACCCGATTTGGGGAACGAGCAGGGCGGGGAAGCAGGGAGGAGGATGAGGAGGATGAGGAGGATGAGCAGGAAGAGGAGGAGGATGAGGAGGAGTCAGCCAGGGAGCAACACCGTAGGGGAATCCACGGTCGCCATCGCTTGCACGGGCTGTCGCTCGGCAAAAGGCAATTTCACGAGCTATGCCTCTCCCGTGTGGGGGTACAAGAAGGGCGGACGGAACACGAGCTTCGTGGTGCTGCGGGAAAGGTCCATCTTGGGTACTCCTCGGGGCATTTGGGGTAAGCACCGAGTTGTGGATAGACAAGGTGTCCCCTCCCATCGGAAAAACACATAAGGTAATCTCGTTTTTAAGAAGGAACGCGCTGTTGTTCTACTCGTGCCTCCCATAATGTTGGTCGTTCCTTCGGGGGCCCCAAAGCTGCAATGCAACATCTGTACCGTGCATGCCCCGCATCGTGGGCATCCATGGGCTGAAAGGGCGCGAGTCTGGACTGATCTCAGCGATCGTGTGACCACGTGGCACTTCGGGAGTTGTCTCATGGTCGGGATTGCGTGAATCGGTTTGGTTGAATCGGAGAGTGCTGGCCCTGCGAGGCTTTCCAACGAGGAAGATTGCTGAGAAGAACGCATGCGAGATGTGGCTGTCGGGCAACGGCTTACCGCCGCCCGAAGCCAAAGTCGGAAGACCCGACAAGCATCGACTACGCTGCTGCTTCTAAGGACTCACTAGGCTTGTCACGAGCACCTTTGCCATGCAGGGGTTGGAAGTCCTGCGGAAACACACGAAGCATGCTTCCCACATGTGCGTTCTCGAACGAACCCACGAGGCCAGCACCAAGAAGACGGGGGCCCGTCCCTCCACCACAGGAAGCGTAGGGACCCTCGAAGCCGCAGAGAGTTCCAGTATGCCTGTCAAGGGTACGCACTGAGGGTTGGAGCTGAAATGTCAATCGGCAGCCTCGGAATGTCGCGCCTTGCTTGTATAAAGAAGCGGAGCGATGCCATACTAGAGGACCCGACGCTTACTAGCCGACCCTACATCACCTCCCGCACCATGATCCTCGTCAGGCTGAGGAGGAGACTGAAAGCCATCACATACCAAGTTCGTACCCAAGGGATCGACAAGCATGTCCCAGTCATGCCTAGCATTGCCCAGCAAGAAAAGAATTGGGGGTTTGGGAGGCGGCATGGCCAAACGTGTCTCGGAGGAGGGAGACGCGCCCCAAGCAGCTTGCCTCCTGGGAGCTCGGATAGCTTGCCCTCGCTGCCGCGCAACATTTCACGTGGAGGCGCACCCTTCCTGAAGAACTGCTCCTCGCCATGACTCGCTCTGCTAGCACGACCGTCCAGGTGCTAAATGCGAGAGCTGACTAAGATTGTGCTGCCTTGCTAGACGCCTGGGGCTCTGACATCAGGATGGCCGTGGACGGGTCCTCAGCAAGAAAGAGCGGCAACGAGGTAGGATGGTGCTCACACTTGGCGGCAAACCAACTCAAAAGACCAACCCTCAATCCAGTAAGCCAGGACCCCGCCGGCGAAGCTTTGGAGACGCCGCTCGAAGCGACCAACGACCTCCAACGGCACTCCGGCGACGCCGAATTCGCAATCGAAAACTTCCACTGGGACCCGAGGTCCCGCGATCGGACGCGTGCACTATGGGACCCTATGACCTCAAGAGGATCTACGAAAGGACCCACGGGGGAAAGGTGGCCGGACCTGGGAGGGGGGGTGCCTAAGAAGTGTTCAAGGCCGTCATGGTCAGGGCTTCCATGGCAGCTCGAGACCCAATGATGTTTAAGCAAGGTGCCACCATCGATATCGGCACCGGGGGAGCCGCCGCTCACCTTGCGGCCAACTGGCGCCCAGGTTTACTCGGAAGTGCCATGAGCAAAGCTCACCACCAGTTTGTTAGGAGCCCACTCACCCCCTGCTTTGGCGGCCAGCCTGCACGAGTGTCAGTGCGGCGGTGTTGCTGGACGGAGCGCCGATTTCATGTCTCACTTGGTTGCCTCCAGGCTTGCTGCACACTTCCTCGTCAGAGCGTCCTGTTGCGCGCTGAGAAGCAATCGCAAGGCCGCTTTTCACACGACCGTCAGACAAGCCGCAGTGAGCACGCCAGTGGAAGGAGCCGACTTCGAGAGAGTCTTGGGGCTACCCTCCCCGTCAGACCAGCCTTTCCCAAGTCGTGACGAACTTGGCGGCCACACAAGTGGCCGACCAGCAGGTCCAAAACCAACACCTACATCGGTTGTCAGCGGAGTCGCAACCTCACGGTTTTTGGAGGATGAGCGGGGCCTCGGGCTTCAGGAGGCCCACGCTTGGATATAATGAAGGGGCGGTACCCGCCACCGACGTTTTTGAACCCCAGGTGTGCTCCCTTTCCTGTTCGTAGTCAAGAAGACGTGTTCGAACAAGAACCTGCGTTGCCCACCTTTCTTGACTCTCCTAATGAATCTGCCTGTGAGGAAGATCACAGCCTCCCGCAAGAAACCGGAACTTCCGTAGACGACCTCAGGCTTGTGGGATCCTCAAAAAATGCTGCGCTACTTGTGCAGTATGCCGTTGCCACTGCAGTTCGCGTAGAGCGTGCGGTTTTCGAATGTGGATTGCTTTCGAATCTCTCCCAGACGTGCATGCCAATGAGACCTGCAGAAATAGGCAGGAATGCTGTGGAGAAGCAGCTGTGAGCCTGGAGGAGCAACCATTCTCCTCCCCTCTCACCAAACTGCTACCATCCGCCGTACCGTCAAGTGTCTCTGGACTCTGGTTTCCGACACGATTTCCATAGCCCTCGAAGTAAATCATCGCACGGTTCGACTTTGTGCTGCGTGACGGCCTAATCCATGGGCCCTGGCCATCTGATTAAGTGCACTTGAGGCCTCCGACCTCTCCTGTATGCCTTACAACGCGCCTGCCCGCGGGGTAGTCCTCCAAGAGCCAGCGCAGGACCACAAGACGTTCGAGCTCAGCCCGACCACTCCCACCGCTGCTCGCTTATGTTTCTTGTTCTTCTTCTTCTTCTTCTTCTTCTGCTTCGATGGGCCCTCTGGACTCTGTCGAACGCTCTCGCCCTCCAGGGGTTGGCTACTGGGTGCTGAGAGTCGAGACGCCTGGGATAACGTGGACTGCCGGGCGGGACCAGCGCAGGGGGAGGGGGGGGCACTGCCCTTCCTCATAACCTCAGGTCGGGCCTGTCCCCCTACGTGGGGATTTGGACGAAAGCTAAACCATAGTCAAAACATACACCATACATTTGTTAAACATGATCCCCAAATGGTCCCCATACGATTTTCAGACTATGTTTGAATACTCCTCCTGTAGAGGGACAGGCCCGACTTACTCATAACCTCAGGCACAATGGCGCCTACTTGGGAAGGAACGATCCCTCGAAGAGAAGCAGCTCGTCGGCAATGGCGACCGAACAACCAGCCTTGCCATCATTGTGCGGAACATTGACTGGCTACAAGACTTGCGCCGCTCTTGCTTCCATGCGATTGCTCAGCCTGGCCATATCCGGCTGAGACGACCGAGCATCGCGAACTCACGCCGAGGAACGGTTTTCAAGCGTGGAAGGGGGTTCTCCACGTTGCTCTCCTCGTCTCTCCCTCCGCTCACACTGGGTTCTGTGACAGGTGGTGGTATGGTGGATATGTTATGCTGCAACATCGGTCTAAGACTGGGCACGCATAATGCTTCCCGTCCTGACCCGTCGGCCTGCGCTGAGTTTTCGGCTTCGCGGGGCCCCGACGAGGGCCCCCCTCGGGCGATGGGGCCCCCTGGGGGGCCTCGCAAGTTTAGGAGACTGGTGCCGACCCCCACCACCTCCTCCTCCTCCTCCTCCTCCTCCTCCTCCTCCTCCTCCTCCTCCTCCTCCTCCTCCTCCTCCTCCTCCTCCTCCTCCTCCTCCTCCTCCTCCTCCTCCTCCTCCTCCTCCTCCTCCTCCTCCTCCTCCTCCTCCTCCTCCTCCTCCTCCTCCTCCTCCTCCTCCTCCTCCTCCTCCTCCTCCTCCTCCTCCTCCTCCTACCTCCTCCTCCTCCTCCTCCTCCTCCTCCTCCTCCTCCTCCTCCTCCTCCTCCCTCCTCCCGATCCTCCTCCTCCTGTACCGTTCTGGTCTGCCCGCATCTCCTTCTCCTGCGTTCCGCCGCCGAGGATCGGGCAGCGAGACCCTGGCGTCGTCACGTGGTGAGCGAGCGAGTGAGTGGGTGAGGCGGAAGTGCGGGCCAGGTTCACACGCATCTATAACTATCCGCTGCGTTTGGGACTTTCTGGGACAGGGCGCAAAGAGGCCGAGACGCGGTGGATCTTGACAAAAAGCTAGCCTCTGGGGGCCAGATTGATATCCATGCCCAGTTCGCCTCCAGTTTCAGGGGGAGGGGGGCCCGAAAAAACTCCATGGCGCAGCGGGTCGTCGGATGTGGGTACCAATCCTGCCCGCGGGAAGACGAAGGGTCAGAATTCGGCGAGGGAGCATGAGGGGAGCAGGAAGAGCCAGGGGGCAGCAAGTAGGGGCGCACGACGGAACAGGGAACAATGAGCGGGGGGCGGGGGTGGGGGGGGTGGCAAGAAGGAAGGGGGGGGGGGGGGGGGGGTGGGGGGGGGGAAAACGGGAGGACGAGGGAGAAATCGAAGAATAAACGGATGACGCCCCCATTTCCCTACCCCTGATCCGCTCTCCCGGGTCCTCGCGGTGAGCAAGCTTGGCCGCCGCCTCTGCGCGCGGGGTCGCTCGCTGGCGCATCGTGCGCGCCCCCCGTCCCCCGCGCGTGCCATGTTTCCTACGACACCACAGGGCAGTTTTTAACACATATTAATGTTAAGATAGATGATTTGTAACACATGATCATTTTACGAAAAAATAATGCATGAACTCATCGTTGTGTTTAATGTTAAACCCCTGCATGGTTAATACATGATCCGCACGCGGAGCATGTATTATAAACGGTCCTGTACGATGTGGGTGCACATGCAAATGTGTATGCATGTTCACGTGCACACTCTATACAACAAACACATGAGCACATCCAAATCCGCCACCGTGCCTTCAACACGACGTGGAATGCCCCCGAGGCTGACAGTTGTGATGTCCGAACGCCCGAGACACGGTCTTGAGGAATCCCTGGGCGCTGCCAAGAATTCCCAGGACTTTCCGCGTGGCTTTTCCCCAAACCAAAAGCCTCTAAGACGGGCCAAGAGGGTCACCCCAGTGCCTCATGACATGGCGATCCAAGACAGCCCCAAGACGGCCCAATAGCGCTGCGAGTCGGCCAACGATAGCCCGGAGACGGTCCCAGATGCCCCCAAGACGCCCCAAGCGAACCGCGAAAGGATTCCTGAACGTTCCTGCCAGGCCTGGCCCAGTGGCGCAATGCGGTCAGGGGGGCGGCCAGACGGGCCGCGTACGAGCCCCAAGCGGCTCCAGACACCCTAAAGACGCCCGAAGACGAAGCCGTTCAAACACAAGAAACATTAGCTGTCCCAAGAATTGTGTGTGATTGTCGGGAAGTTCAAGCCCAAAGACGCCTCAACGGGGTCCCATGACGGCCCAAGATAGCCCCACTACCCCCCCAAGCCACTCCAAATCAAGGCCCGTTGGTTGATGGAGATTCTACTTGACAGCAAGGTGTCCCTCAAAGCTCCAAGGAGACCACCCCAACACGAGTCTAGAAGGCCTACCGATTTTCGTGAGCCCCCATGACAAACAGCAAGGACACGCATTCGCAACACGCATCCGAAATTAAAGCCAAGGGAGAACGAGAACGGGTCAACAAAAAACGCAATAGGAAAAAACGGAGACGCACGCTACGATATAGCACATCTGCATATATATATATATATATAGATCAGAGGTTGGAGGGCGAGATCGCAGTGGACGGAGACCCCCAACTGGGAAATCGTTTCGTTTCTTTCGTGTCGTGCGTGCGGGCGAGGCGAAGCTGCGTGGGCGCGCGAGAGGAATGAACCCGCCGTTGCTAGGGCGAAGTCAAAACAAATGTTGTTCCCCCGTCCGTCCGTCCGTCCGTCCGTCCGTCCGGCGGTGGCCCTAGCGGTGTCCCGCGGCGTCCCGTGGTGTCCGCCGTTGCTAAGGCGAAGTCAAGACAAATGTTTCGCTCCCGTCCGTCCGTCCGGCGGTGGCTTGCGGTCTCCCGCGGTGTCCCGTGGTGTCCCGTGGTGTCCCGTTGAGTAAAATCGATAGTAAGATCGATAGTGAGATCGATGTGGTGACCCGAGGTGTCCCGTGGTGTTCCCGTGGTGTCCAAAAAAGAGATCGATGATGAGATCGATGGTGAGATCGACAGGTGTCCCGTGGTGTCCCGTGGTGTCCAGTTGGGTGAGATCGATAGTGAGATCGATAGTGAGATCGATAGTGAGATCGATATAGTGCCCCGAGGTGTCCCGTGGTGTCCAGTTGAGTGAGGTCGATAATGAGGTCGATAATGAGATCGACAAGTGTCCCGTAATGTCCCGTGGTGTCCCGTTGATTCAGATCGATCGTGAGATCGATAGTGAGATCGATGTGGTGTCCCAAGGTGTCCCGTGGCGTCCCGTGGTGTCCCGTGGTGTCCCGTTGAGTGAGATCGATCGTGATATCGATAGTGAGACCGATAGTGAGATCGAGAGGTGTCCCGCGGTGTCCCGTGGTGTCCCGTGGTGGCCCGTTGATTGAGATTCATAATGAGATCGATAATGAGATCGACAAATGTCCCGTGGTGTCCCGTAGTGTCCCGTTGAGTGAGATCGATAGTGAGATCGATTGAGTCAGATGTTGGTTGGTTCCCCCCTCCCCCCCACAACCTCCTTATCACCCGAAGGGTTGTCGTATAGGTATATATAGATGTAACGAAAACATGTTCCTCCCTATGTATATGTTGCTGATGTCGCCTACATGCGAAACTAGAAGGGACGGTGCATGGCGCGAAGACCAACTGTAGCCTTGTGTAGATGCTATGTGTTTGCACATGCCCGCCACCGTGCCCGCAGGCACTGAGTGGAGTGTCCGCATTGCCCTCGGAACTATCTGCACTTCGCGCTGCAGACACCGCCCAGGTGGGGCCCAGAAGTGCGGTCGGAACAACTTGCATGCAATGGGGCCCAATCCACAAGAAACCTTCCACAAGAGACCCAATCGTCAGACTCCAGGACGTCCATTGATGCTTGGTGTGGGAACGTCGCGCTTCCCATAGCAAAACCATCGAGATTCCAAGAAACCCAGGGCACCCTGGAGGCAAGCAGGGTGTTTCTTGGCATGGGTCTCCACTGCAAGAGACCAAACCCTGAGACTCCAGGACGTCCATTGATGCTTGGTGTGGGAACGTCGCGCTTCCCACAACAAAACCATCGAAACCCAGGAAACCCAGAGCACCCTGGAGGCAAGCAGGGTGTTTCTTTTTTTTGCGAGTACGTTTGAAACCTATTGTTTGTCTTCCTCCCCTCTTCCGCCTCCGCCTCCCCCTCCTCCCTGGCGCCCCCTGCGGTGCGTTTGGTGTATGACTTTGTAGCATCCGGGCAAAAGTGCTCGCTCCCGCCTCGGCGCCGGCAGCAGTTTCGGAACGCTGGGGGGCCCGACGCTGCACTTTTCCCATCCGAGCGCCCTCTCCAAAAGCACCGGGTGTCGCTGAAGACCGGTGTTTTTTGAATCTGTCGGGCCGGCTGGGCTCTTCTCGATCGCTTGCGTTGCGGAAGCTTTCCTTTGGGGGAGAAAAGAAAGCAGCCCAGCACCGCGCGGCAAGCAGCCGAAATCCCGGCTCCTGCCGCCGCCTCTTCCTCCTCCTTCTCCTCCTCCTCCTGCCCCTCCTCCTCATCCTCCTCCTCCCCCTCCTCCTCCTCCTCCCCCTCCTCCTCCTCCTCCTCCTCCTCCTCCTCCTCCTCCTCCTCCTCCTCCTCCTCCTCCTCCTCCTCCTCCTCGTACCTGGAGGCGAGCAGGGCGTTTCTTGGCAGGAGTCTCCGGCGTAGCGTGCCGCCGCGTCGGCCCCCTGGCGGCACGCTGTGCCCTGCAGGCGGACGTCGTGCCGCCGGGGCGCCGCGGGGCGCGGGCTCGGAGCGGCGCGGGGCGTGGGCGATCGGGGGCCACGAAGTGTCGAGCCGTGGCGGAGCGTCCTGGCTTTCCTAGCAGTGCCACCAGAGAATGTTCCGAGAAACCCCCGGTCGGAGAAGATCTTTCTGTGGGGCGTGGGCGATCGGGGGCCACGAATCGGGTCGGGCGAAAAGGGGGGGATAGCAAAGGGGGGAGTTGAGAATCAGCCCACGTCGCTGACTTTCCCGTCGCCTCCCGACGCGGGGAGGCGGCCATGCATCGAGGAATGGACCCCTCGGCGGGGTTGAAACCAGCTGCATGCAGCAAATTTCGTAACCCCCCCCTTTCCCAATCCCCTCCTGTCGTCCGGCCCGAGTGAAGTGTCGAGCCGTGGCGAAGCGTCCTGGCTTTCCTAGCAGTGCCACCAGAGAATGTTCTGAGAACCTTCTGTGGCCTGCACGAAGTGTTCTTGGAACGATTCTGGCTGGGACCGTCTTGTTTTGACACATCGGGCTCATGTTCTAAGGCGATTGTTTTTGTTCCTGGCACATTTCTGGGTCCTGAGACAATGTCGTGCTGGGCCTATGGGAATGCCGGGACGGTCGGCCCCTGCTCAAGAGCGGATCGCGTGAGGTGCCAAGGCGTGGTGGGCCAGAACCGGCGGAGCGACACGCTACAACTCGGCGGCGAGCGAGGGGGGGAAACGAGAAGGAGAACGCCTTCTCAGAAGGTGGTGGGACTTCTCTGCCTTCGGGGAAGGCTTAGAAGACTTCTCAGAAGGCCGGGGGACTTCCAAGCCTTCTGAGAAGGCCCGCCCCTTTTCACTTACCCCCTCGCTCGCCACCGAAACAGAGTCCCCGACCGTAAATCCTGAGTGCGGCAGTACAGGGTATTGCGCATTGTTGCAAAATGTACCGCGTTGAGTAGTGGGCCTTGCAAGATGTCCCGGCGCTCTCGGGCGCGCCTGGGGCTTCTGGCGGGACTTCTTCAAAGGGCCCCCTAAGGCTTCTCGCGCCTGGAGCTCCTCGCGTGGTTGGGATCCCACGCTCCCTACAGATTGACCAAGCTATGTACCCCCCCGCTCGCAGGCTGCAGTCTGAACGCCAGGCGTGAGGTGCGGCAGGATACCACCATCTTCAACTCTACTGCGTCTAGTCCGTCCTCCGCCTCGTCCTGGACACGTCGTTTCTCCAACCTCCCTTCTGCATGCAATATGTATACATATATGCAGATATATGGTATCATGTCTCTCTCTCTCTCTCCCTATCTGGCTCCTTTCTCTCTCTCTCTCTATATATAGTTCTCTCGCTCTTCCTCTCCCCCGCTCTCCCCCTCTCTCTCTCTACATCTGTGCCTTGAGACAGTGGAGGCCAGTCCACAAAAGAAACCTTCCACAAGAAACCCAACCCTGAGACCCCAGGACGTCCATTGATTTCTGGAGTGGGAGCGTCGCGTTCTCCATCGCAAAACCATCCAAACCCAAGAAACCCACAGCACCCTGGAGGCAAGCAGAGTGGTTCTCGGCATCGGTCTTTACCGTACAACATCGAGACACACGCCAGTCAACTGTTCCGAGAGCAGAAGCAATAACAATGTCATGCCTGTCGGACGATCCCATCAGGGCGTTGCTGTGAAGCTGCTCATGGCCTCCGAAAGCTCGGCATGCTTATGAAGAAACTGGTGAGTTCGGCGTGCTTCGTTCGAGGCGAATCCTGGCAGTCCTCAGGTTCCCTGGTCTTGCTGCCTTCCTACCTTACTCGGGTTACTTGTTCTCGGTTCCTTGCTGCCTTCCTCGGGTTTATTCGACTTGGTTCCTTTTTGCCTCTTCTTTGATCTGGGTTCCTCGTTTCCTTTCTCGGGTTCCTTGGTCTTGGTGCCTTACGGCCCAGCAATGCCAAGCAATGCAACGTAACTAGTGCAACGTGTGTAATGCCACAAGCAACGCCAAGCAATGCCAAACAACGCCAAGCAACGCCAAGCAACGCCGAGCAACGCCAAGCAACGACACGCGCAGCAAAGCGGTGTCACGCCAAGCAATGCCAAAGACTGCCAAGCAATGCCAGGCGATGCCAAGCAATGGCAAGCACTGCCAGGCAACGCGCCCCTGAAACAGGGCCCGTTCCCCTACGTGACTGGTGTCGCGCCGTATTCATGGTACAAGAGAGGTTTTGTCGAGCAGCACGCGCAGGCTGCGAGAAGACGCGCGTGCCAGCGCCCCGAAAACAGCCAGGCGCCACTGGCAATGACGCACTTGGCGGGAGGGAGGACGTGGGCCCCGCTGGTCCTGCACGCGCCGCCGGTGCTGCACTCGCCCCTGGTCCTGGACCCCGGGCCTCTCCCTGCAACCGGCTCTCTGTCCCGGGGTTACGCCGGGCCTGTCCCTCGACAGGCAGGATGTGCAGACATAGTCCAGCAGTAGTCGGGGACTATTTTCGGTTCCTTCTGACGGGGCATGTTGTTTGGGTACGTCTCGATCTGCTTCCTAAAATCCGCCCGTAGGGGGACATGCCCGACCTATTCTTTTTTGTCGGGCCTGTCTCCCTACAAAGGGAAAATACAGAATACGCGTCGGGCCTGTCGGGCCTTTTTTGGACGGAAAATACACAATACGCGAAACATGCCCTCAAATAATAAAACAACAAAAAAACACTGAAAAATAATCCCCGTACTAATCCCCGAAATATTTTTTTAACTAGGTCCGAATTCTAACCCTGTAGAGGGACAGGCCCGACTTGAACCGAATCCCGGGCCCCCGGGGGGCCCGAGGGGGGGGCCCCGGAGCCCGACGGCGGCAGAACGCGCCTCCGGGGCCCCGCGTGGCCTCCGGGGCCCCGCGATCGCGCCCTGCACGGAGAGGCCGCGCCAGTCGAGTCCATCACCTCCTCCTCGATCCTCCTCCTCGATCCTCTTCCTCCTTCTCCTCCTCCGCCTCCTCCTCGATCCTCCTCCTCGATCTTCTTTCTCCTCCTCCTCCTCCTCCTCCTCCTCGATCCTCCTCCTCGATCCTCCTCCTCCTCCTCCTCCTCCTCCTCCTCCTCCTCCTCCTCCTCCTCCATCCTCCTCCCCAGCAGCATTACAGCTGGTCTGCAGATCGAGCGCTTACAGTGCGGGCGACTCGTCACAGTGGCCAGCTCAGCGTCGGGCGCGCCGACGACGAGAGGGGCCAGGGAGAGGGGCGGAACGCATCCTGACGCGGGGATTCTGCGCGGACGAAGGGGGGGTCATGGGACGTGCGGAAGGAAGAATCGGCAAGGGCTACCAACTTCGCGCGTCGCGCTGCGCGAAGCGCGAAGTGCGAATAACTTCGCGCTCTCGCGCCGCCTCCCAGGGGGGAAGAGGAAGAGGAGGAGAAATCGGAGCCGAACCACGAAGCACGAAGCGCGAAAAACTTCGCGCCCTCGAGGGCGCCCTTGGAGGTATCAGTGATCAGGGCCCCGGCCATGATGCCCAAGCCCCCACCCCCCAGTCCTCACCCTCTCCGGAACGCCCCCCGAGCATCGGCACGCCTCCGGAGCTGGACTGTCGCTTGGCGGGACCCCTGGCAATCTCATGCGATCCCCCCCGGGCGCATTCGAAACTCCAATGCAAGGAAGAACATCAATGAGGAGGATCGAGGAGGAGGATGAGACGGACTAGTGCAACCCTAGGACTCATCAGCGATGTTGCAAGAAACCCTCCTTCAGAATTCCATCTTCATAAATCCCTGCGAAGATGCATTGTCACGGGGGGACGTTCCCCGTCGGAACACAACCGTGTGAAAACCCTGAACTGTGCCAGAATACCATTCCTGGGAATCCAACGCCGCGAGACAACGTTACTGCTGTGCCCTCACGGTCCTGAATCGTGCAAGAACACCGTTACTAGGACTTCAAAACCACGATTCAACCTGAGTGTTGCGCCATGACAATTCTACATCGTGCCGAAACACCATTCCTAGGAAGTCAACTAGAAGAACTCCTAGAACTGCTGCAAACTCTTAAGCAGAGAGTGCACGGCGCTCACGCGAAACAAAAACATCTAGAAAGGGAGCCACCCTTCATCCGTGAAACTCTTGCAACCTTCAAACAGCATGTGCGCGGCGCTAACGCGAGAACCGCATTTAGAACAGGAGCCACGACCTTGCCACCTTGAAGAACAAATTTGCGCGGCGGCGAGGCGAGAGCCACACATTGAAAATGAGTCCGTCATCCATCAGCGAAGCGCTTGCCAACTTTTCAAACGAATATGCGCGGCGCTAAAGCGAAAACACACATGAACGAGCCGCCATCCATGCGTGAAGCTGTTGTCAGATGTAACTCTAGTGATCGCTAACAGTGAGACAAAATCTCAGGCAAACGCCCGGCGCGCCGTACTGACACGTCTCGGGGTGCGACAGGGGCAAGCTATGCATGAGAGGATGGGGAAGAATCGAAGAAAACGAGGAGGACCGAGAAGGAGGATCGAGGAGGATGACCGAGGAGGAGGTAGGATGATCGAGGAGGAGGAGGAGAATAATCGAGGAGGAGAAGGAGGATCGAGGAGGAGGAAGATAACATAGGAGGAGGAAGAGGTGGAAACGGAGGAGGAGGAGGAAGAGGATCGAGGGGGAGGATCCAGGAAGAGAAGGGGAGGAGGAGGGAGAGGAGGAGGAGGAGGAAGAAGACTGACTCCTCCTCCTGAGAGAAGCCGGGGCCCGCCTTCGCCTTGCCCTTCGGCGCGGCCTTCTCCGAGGCCGTGGGCTTGACGGGAGGCTGCTCCGCCCCGGGGCCCGCCTGCGGGCGGGCGGGCAGGGCGGGCAAGGAGGAGGAGGAGGAGGAGGAGGAGGATGAGGAGGGGGAGGAGGAGAAGGAAGAGGAGGAGAGGAGGGAGAGCGGGAGGAGAGGAGGAGGAGGAGTGGAGTGGAGTGGAGCAATCGGACGTAGTCCGTTCGGGAAACAAGAGACGCCAGGGAGGGCCATCCGGAATTTCTCGGAGTGGCGTGGGTGGCGACATCCCACGGCACACCGCGACAGGCCCCCCCTGGCCTCACAATTTACTCAGAGACGCCGCTAGGAGCCGCGAGAGACGCAATCGCGGCTTCGGCTGCCGATTCATGCATAGCGGCTAGAACAGACTTGCTGGGACCCGATTTGGACGGATGGAGGCCTCGTCTGATCCTGCTGAGGTTCTCGAGGCCTTTGCCAGTGGGTCCCAGGGCCCTGCGCTCTCCCACTTGGTGGGTGAGAGGGCAGGGGTATTGTAAGTTTTTGACCTGGTGTGTGGCCGTATGGCCGCACTTGACACAGAAGAACATTTGCCACTTGGGGATGGCGGCCAGCACGTGGGAGGGGTGTATCGCCTTGCCACTGATCACACGGGGGCCCCTCGACCACAGGACCTCACCACACGCGGCAAACTCAGGAAGGGGGCTAGGCGGTACACACTCCGTTGCGGCAGCTGGAATTATCTGGCGAGCGTCGACAATAATGTGACAAGAGGAGCATCGCCATTTATCTACACACCGAACGAATTTGTGCTGAGAATCCGCGATCGCGGTCTGCAACTGGGAACGAGGGGCAGCCTCTTGAGTGGGTTGCCTCTCTGGCCACAGACCTCGTGGCTCTGCATTCTTTCCGAAAGCACGAAGAATTAGGCGTGCCCGCTGGCGGACGATCGCCGCGATAGCATCATATTCATCAGTCCTGGGC